GTGCCTTCCAATTTTAGCCAGTTGCAGAGCTTGCAGTTTAAGATAGTGGTTATAATTCTGATCTGTTTAATCAGAGAGAGGAGGTTTACCTGGAGATACAGATCTTCAGAAACTCAGACTGTTCTCGCAGTTTGCTGTCCCTACTGCCTTTCCGTTTTCTTTCAAGATGCTGGATGAAATCATGGTTTCCACCTGTCTCATTTAGGTCAGTGCCAGTAAGCAACAGAAAGGGTAAGCGTGGGCAGCATGTTGGGCAGTAAGAGTGGGCAGAATGTCAAATTCAACAAAAATCAGACATCTTTTTTCTCTGCTGCTTTTTTCCTGGACACTTCTTCACCCACTGCAACAGCAAACTACGAAAACATAGCACTGTGGGAAGGAAAATAAGTAAAAAAATAAATAATTTTTTAAGAAATCAGTTTACTCTAACCGATCCAAGATAAATAATTCTTCCGACCAAATAACTCCAGAAGTTTGCAGAGAATAGTATGAAAACCAAGAATAGCCAAAGGCTATCTGGATGCAAAACTACACAGGGTAACATTCCTTAGGGAGGGGAAAAAAAAACAGTAGGCAGTCAAGCCTACGCCTGCTGAGTGACCTTGCCCTGCTTCCAAATGATATAGAAGGGAAAGCTGCACCAGAAACAATGAATCCAGAAACTGAAGGACAAGAAGCAAATGGAAAACGGTACTCACAGACTACTTCAGTAACCACCTGGTGAGGACATGCTAAGTACCTGTCTCTAGATCAGAAAAAAAACTTCCAGGGAATTAACAAGCTGAACAAGTCAGCTGAGAGAAGGAACTAAACCCACACTTTCTACAAGCTCCTTTTTTTCCTTTGGCCTTATCTATTTTACTACCACAGCCCTGTTTAAGAAGCGTTTGATAAAAATGAAGTACCTCTGCAAATGAGTTTCCCAAGAAATAATGCCAGCCATGATACCCATAACTGTAGTGTAACACTGCAGTTCTCAGCCTGGTTCTCCCTACCAGTTTCCCCACTTTCGCACAGCATAGCAAGGCTTTATGCTGTGGTTCCATGAAAACTCCATTCAGACTATCTGCAAAGATCCCTAGAATTATATCACCAAACAAATAAAATTGTCCCTCTTAAAGTACGAGTGAGACCTGGCTCCCTGCTGACCTGTGTCAGCAATGAAAAGATGTATGATGACACTGTGAGATGTATCTGTGACATCACATTCCAAGACTATTGCATTACATCATTTCTGCAGCTGGCATCATAACATTTCACAAGTTTCATATTTGCCTACTATTTTAGAAAGGATTCTAAAAAATTCTCAAATTATCACAACACTTCTTCAAAGGTAGTTCAGAAAACTTCGCTCCTTGCAGTAATTTGGTACCTCACCATGAACACGCTTTAGGAATCACTGCTGAGCACCAGGCTGAACAATGTCCCAGAAATACTGGACAGATTGCAACCAGTGTGTGGATCCTTTCCAGGGAGTTCTTTATATTTGGTCCAAAGCTTTTTCACTCTCACACAGCACTCTGTTTCTTAAGATTGCCTCCTGCTCCTACTCTTCATTATTTAGCATAATAATTTCAGGTGTCTATGCTCACACCATCTTTGTGACACTGCAGCAATAGAGGAATGGCTAGGAGCAGACAGTTTTTTGAACAAAGAACATGGATTTTATGCTGAGTTTGGAAAAGGAAAAGCTTGGAAAGAAATAACCAGAAACAATAAAAAAAACCCCAAAGCTTATTTGCTTCCAAGGGTTGTTTTCAAACAGATTTACATGAATACTTAAGTGAGGTAGAAGACTTCATTTCAGAACATCACATTCGATTTTATTGAAAGAGCAACTTTATCTGAAGTATTAAAAACGCAAGTGATAACATACATAGAGGATCGCTTGCTTAGTCACAATCGTGATGCTTGAAAGAGACAAAATCACAAATGCTATGCTTGAAAGAGAGAAAATTAATAAAATAGCATTTTGATAATGGGCTTTAAAGACATACAATGTCAGAAAAAGTAGGGAAAAGGAATACACTTTGGAAGATCTGAAGTTGTAGAAGAGGCTGTATTTAGGAAACAGCTTGGAAATAATGACAGAGGTGGATAGGGAAGTAGGAAACAAAGGAAGAACCACCAAATAAGCCATTCAATCTAAATTGGAAGAGAGAATTTTAGCCAACTCCACAGATGAGACAACAATGAGAATAGAGGAGGAACAGTTTAATAATGAGGTAGAGCAAAAAAAGTAGATAAACTGTATAGTTCTTAACCAGGTTTTTTTGACTGAGGTGATGATTTTGGAAGAACAGATCAGTGATGATACAAAAAAAAAAAAATCAAGGCACAAACGCAAGTCTAAGCACCAGCATTTTTCATAAAATCTAAAAAAAGAAACTTGTAGATGTGAAGCAACAAGCACCTGCAAGTTTTCAGAGAAAAACTTCTGATGAAAGAAAACACAGAGACTTCTAGTAGCAACTGAGAGGTTGGTGAAGTGTCAGCTGACAAGGAAAGAGGGCAGTACAGCCACAAGAACATTCATGGTAGTTGTATCTTATTTAATGCACAAGGCAGTATAAACTAGGCAGACAAAGAGAATTTAGAAGATGAGGTAAAGAAAAGCAAGAATTCAATTAGATATCATAGTACCTAGGCCTGAGTGGAGATTTGACACCCTTTGGTCAAGTATGAAGGAAAAAGGAGAGGTGGAAAAACCAGTAGCCTTTGGTATGAATGGAAGAGGCAGAGATAGTCATCCCCAGCAACTGAAATAAAAACAAACCAGTCAGAAAGCAGAGAGGAAAAAACAACCCACAACCAAAAACACAATGACGAAAAATATTCACTTGCAATAAAAGCTGCTGAGAAGTCACGAGCAGAAATAAGCCCCTTGTTTCTAGCTTCACACGTTTCTAGTAATTTGTGAGGGTTCTAGTCAGTTGGCAACCACATAGAAAGCCAACCAGGAAAGGTTCAGAAAGCTAGGACAACTAGGGGTGAATACAAGAACAATCTTCTTAAACCAGAGTTTAGAACATCCTGAGGAGACAAAGTACTGACAGGAGAAGGGGGAGGGGGCAGGGAACCAACCAAACCGAAAAAAGGAAGAACTGCAGACCACCTGAACACAAACAAGAACAGCACAAAAGGAGAGGAAACAAGAACCTCCAAAAGAAGAATCTTTTCAGTGCCTAGTCTCAGTTCATAGTAGGAAGGGATTACAGCAATAAAGCTACATATAAGAAGAAACTGAAATGCTTTGCTTTTTTCCTCCCCCCCCCTCCCCCCGACTCTTGATGAAACTGATTTGCATCAACAGTACTTTTTACTCTGAGGCACTTCTGTCCCAGGCTGAACTTGGGTTTGCAGCTCAGTGGCTGAGCTGATCAGCCACCCAAGCCCCATGTCATCTGAAATGTTGACATAAAAATTTCAGGCTCCCCCAGAGGCATACAGCTGCTTTGTGTGTCCAGGAACTGCTGCTAAATGATTTCTGTAATTCACCCAAGCACCAGACACACCCCTAAGGACAAGCAAGCAGTATGGTGCATTTAAAGAAACAGAAATACATAGCAGTGAGAGTACGGTCACTCAGTTTGAGGACTTATGACCTCTATATGCAATACAAGACCTTCTATAAAGCACTAAAAAGTTGTTCTACCTGTTGTCAGATCTAACCATTATCCTGGCAATTTGCCAACTTCATCTTAACCACATGGAGCTACTGCAAAGCATAAGGTAGTTGAGATGAACACAAGAATAGCAGTGTGAAATCTAGTGTCCTTTGACAACTAGGGGAACAGACTAGATAATGTAACAGCTTCATTTACCCTCCAAATTCTGCATGTAGCTCTTGGAAAGCAGTTTATACCTGCAGAAGCTTGGCCTGATCTACAGCAGCTTAAGAACCTTGCTAAAATAAAAACACTGATGAGCTGAGTTTGACTTTTATACTTCAAAACATTTTTAGGCACGCCATCCAAAGCTCAGTTCAACTGGAATTAGATGATGCATCATTTGTATGGATAGGAAAGACCCATGAAGATTTCTGCTCCATGAGAACTGCTGGAGACACAGCACCTCTAGTTTCAGTAGAGGGAACTTGAAAGGCGCTTAGATGCAGTACGATTGTGCTCAGCACAAACACTTAAATCTGAGAAGAAAAACTACATCTTTGCAAACTTCACTAAGTAGCGAATGAGTGAAATATAAAAGTACAATTTTCCAATTGCATCCACAACATTCACAGATAAACTCCAAATATGGAGTTCCCTGGATCAGCTACATTAGCTGCTTGCTGGTGACACAGGGCTAAAGCACAGCATTACAAATAGAAGCATAAGCTTTGATACTGAAAATAAATTAAAGTCCTGACATCGTTCACAGAAAAAGAGCAGTCTTCAATTAAGAGGTTTGCTATCACACAGGGCATTACAGAGCTAACTACGAAGAAGAGGCTAATAGCCATCAGTAGTATGTTACTCCACCTTTTTATAGACTGTCTCAAAAACAACTGTCAGAATTATGTCTGGAAAAGAAGACATCCATGTAACAACAGCAGATAAACTGTTTCATTAACAATCTTCTCTTGAGATTACTCAGAACATGCAAAATAGCATTTGTGATTCACTTCAGGTGCAGATCTAATCTTAAGCTCCTTAAATGTCTGCCACAATTAGCTCCTATAACTGAGTACACCACAATTCTCTTCCAACCCTCTCCATTTAGCTTCTTTTTAAGGAGCACTGGGATCTGCACTAACCTCCCTCATCTCACAGAAACAACTGTGCTGCTGACCTTGGCCTGAGACCCCCAACAGAGATCTAAGGAGCCTGCTTTGGCATCAAGGTCAGGATGCTCCAGTTAGAATTATTTCCCCTACCTTGTTATGGCAAAGGGAAACCAGTCACAGTACCATCATACTTAATAAGAACGCTAAATAGCAATGAGAGCTGCAGCCACAATTCATGCTATCTAATAAATACACTGACAAAGGCTCAGCCAAGTCAATGTGCTAAATGGACAAGCAAGACATTCTCTCCTCGAATAAAAATCTGGTTTATGTGACGTGTGAACACCTGTTGATAATCCACTTTGGGCCGTCTTTTTCTCCGTGACTGGCTTTTTGCACGGGTACCACCAGCACTGGCACCCTCCGTGTGGGCAGTCCTGCTACCCACGTCAGCTTCACCTCTGGCAGCCAGATGCAAGCTGTCACCTGGCATCTTCTTTTCTCCAGCTCTGCCCAAGTGTTTCTGTTTCTCGCGCTCATCTTCTGCTCTCCCTCGTCCTGATCCAACTTTCCATCCAGGCGTCTGAGAGTCATTTGACAGGGCTGGCTCCTCTGAGACAGTCTTTGAGTCAGCTCCCTTCTTTACTGAGGGCTCCTGCAGTTTGAGTCTGTCAAACAGCTGTAAAAGAACATTTGGGTACATGACCACCTTCATAAAACAAGAGAGGCCGCTTGTTTGGCATTTTTACGTGGTATTTGCGTATACGATCCCAAATCAGAGCTCACAATACACAATTAGTGAGGAATCTTTACCAGCAATAAATACTATGTTTTCTTACCAAAGTCAAACCATGACATAAGGTGAATGGATTTCTTGCATGCACATGAGTGTCTTTATGTGAGCACTGAGGAATTTAATTTGGGGAGCAGTAGCATTTAACTTTGGTCAGGAACAACAGAAAGCTATCAAGTGTCTCCATTAGCTCACTTTCCCCAATGACCTTGTAACGTTGTCAGACAGTATTAGAGAGATTTCTATCCCTGTGTCCTCAGGCAGGACATGAATTCCTAAGATAAGCGGCCTCAATCAGCAAAGAGCGTATACTGAAAAATGATGGACCTTTTGTGTTCCCCAAAACAAAGTAAAAGAGGCCATGCGGGTATTCTGGGAGGTGAGCAGACCAAAATCAATAGAAGATCCAGCAGATCCAAAGCACTGTATGAACTCATTGATCTAAGAATACTGGTGCTAAAACTGGAAAAGAAACTGCTTTTACTCTGGCAGCAGGCAAGCTTTTATGAAATACTGACAAATGAAAAGGATTCTTGGTTAGCCTGTGTCTTCCCAGCAACAGGACGGAAAACCAATCCCTGTGAGAGTGGGCTAAAGGAACAATGACAACACAATTATTTTTAACTAATCTTTAAAAAAGGAAGGGTGGGATCTATCAGAAAACAGATTTAAATGGCAGAAATTTGAAAGCAAATTCCTCACAATGAAACTGTTTAGAAGTTTTTGTGATGCTTCTCTGATGTTCCAAAGGCCCAGAGCTATGGCATTCAACAGGCACAGCCCTGTCACATTTTTTTTCCTTCATTGTTCAGAAGTTCATCTATCATCTCTTCAGTTCTCAACTTCGTAAACATCTTTTTTTGCAGCTAGATCCTAGAGAGTGTCTTGCTTTGGAGGCACATGCAAAATCTTGGGCTTTACGGTACCTAGGCTAGAAGTGACCAAACAGACATACCATTTCTTTGGCTGGAGACAAAAGACTGTTGCTCCATGAACATTAGTATCAGAGTTATGCACTGCCAAATCACCTGGCAGGACAAATACGGGCTGGATCAGTCACAGATGCAAAAAATGCAGAGAACAAATAAATCAAAACCCACAAAGTGTGCTTATAGAAGGTCAGCATATTGCACTAAGCAGTAGCAGCAACTATGATCTGATACTAGGAACTCTAAAGTGGAACTTCTCTAACACTGAACTATGGCCAAAGTACTCTGTGCTGGTTTTGGCTGGGACGGAATTAATTTTCTTCATAGTAGCTAGTACGGCTATGTTTTGGATTTGTGCTGAAAACAGTCTTGATAACACAGGGATGTTTTAGTTGTTGCTGAGCAGTGCTTACACAGAGTCGAGGCCCTTTCTGCTCCTCACCCCACCCCACCAGCAAGCAGGCTGGGGGTGCACAAGAAGCTGGGAGGGGACACAGCTGGGACAGCTGACCCCAACTGACCCAAGGGATATTCCATAGCATATGATGTCATGCTCAGCACATAAAGCTGGTGGAAGAAGGAGGAAGGGGGGGGACGTGCAGGAGCGATGGTGTTTGTCTTCCCAAGTAACCATTACGTGTGATGGAGCCCTGCCTTCCTGGAGATGGCTGAACACCTGCCTGCCCATGGGAAGTAGTGAATTAATTCCTTGTTTTGCTTTGCTTGCATGCACGGCTTTTGCCTTATTAACTGTCTATCTCAACCCATGAGTTTTCTCACTTTTACCCTTCTGATTCTCTCCCCCATCCCACCAGGGGGAGTGAGCGAGCTTGGTTGCCGGCTGGGGTTCAACCACAACAACTTTCAAAAAGGTCAGAAAACTGTTCCCCCTGCCCCCTCCCATTCAAGTAATTTTGGAGTCATTTGTACTAAAAGGAGGTAAAATATTTCAAATGTAAATATAGTTTTCCAGTCAATGCTCCCCTTTTACTACTTTGAAAAAGGAGATACTAAAAAAAACCAAACCAGAAAACTGGAGATCGTTACCTACCCGGGTTAGTGTGAGCTGAGGTTCTGCATAGAAAGCTTTGCCCATTACTGGTTTCCTGTACGTCTCATCCACATCTGTCAGGGCCTAGAAGAGAAAAGAAATGGAAAGGTCAAAATTAAAAGAAAACACGAAGAAGCATTCGCGACAGACCAGCTTTGTGTCATAGCATTATGAAATTATGCTCTCTCTGAAAGAAAATCCATCCTAGGAACAAGCTGTGCTGTGGAGCTGGCTTCTGAATCGTCTAAGTTGTACTGAGATATAAAAGCAACAGCAAAGCTTAGCATCCATTCTGTATCACTTGCAAAATCTTTCTGAGCCTTGCCTGCAAAATTCTTTCCTCCCCACCCCCTATTTCCAAACTTTTCACAGCCCCAGGCTCACAAATAGTTAATAGCTGCTTTTCCACCCTCCGTGTTTAAGATCTGCCTGAGATAGAACACAGGGAAAAGCTTTTGCCACTGACATCCCAGTGACATGCTAGTGAAAGAAAACAGAGAAGTGGCTACCACTATAAGAAGATTGGGTTTTGCAGAAAAAGCTTTGGAAGCTTCTGATACTCCTCATATTCCACCTTCCTGGGTTCTTATGCAAAACCTCTGAAGCTGTTGGGAACACTTCAAAGCTGCTCTCTCACCTAAAACCTCTCTAAGAAGGCTAGGCACCTCTCAGACGTATCAATCTAACACCAAGCACCACTTAAGTCTGAAACCCAGCACTCAGTGCCAGAGCAAATTAGCTTTATGAACTACAATACCACATTAATCTTCTCAAAATGTAGTTTGCTTAAACGTGTCGCAAATTTCAAGTTTTCAATATAGCAGTTATAAATCAAGGGCTGGAACAACAATTACCATATTCCAGAACTTGTCAAATGCAACCAAAAACCCTGTGCAGACTCCACGAAGCCCTTTGAAAGTGCGGATATGGACATTGATTTTTACACCATCTCGGACACAGCGATGAAGTTCCCCCAGTGGGCTGCCTTCATGGACTGAAACAGAAAGAGAACATCACTGGTCTTCAACAAAATACAGATAGATAAATAGATAGATAATATGTAGAAATCTACTCTATGTAGAAGTATGGCAGATCTTGGTACAACACCTGTCTTCAAGCAAAAGAAATGAGAACCCCCAGAGCACTGTAACACACTGCAGTTGTAATTACTAGACCACCAAAACTCTCCTGACAGCAGGGACAGCAAAGACTTTAGAAAATATGAAGGTTTTGCTTGACATAATCCATAGCCAAATCAGCCTTAGCTGAAAACCTTTTTGCTATGTTTCAAAAACATACTCATGCTAATCTTAAAGAAAAGTGGTTCAGAGGGAAAAGAAAGCTCACGGAAGCATAGAGAGTTTCACAGAAAAGACAAATGCCTAGTTAAGGCTACCTCAGATTAGTTACGACCTGTTAATAAAGTATTGTATCAGATGTGTTCCTTTTCTTTACAAGATTTCTGAAGAAACAGATGACTCAAAAGTTCTTCAACTAACCAAACTGGATCAGTTTAAGTTGATGAAAATGTAGTGTTTCAGTTAAAACTTTCAGTAGCCAGCTGAACATCCTTCAAAGATGTACAAGTCTTCATCCTTCAATGATGTAGAAGTCTTTGGCAAAGAAATAAAATTACTATAAGCAGCAGCCACCAATGAAACCATACTAAACTGCAGAACAGTAATGCTTTTAGTCAGGGCAAACCCAAAGGAATTCAGTAAAAACATACAACTTACCTGGCAAACACAAGCCTTATCTGCACACTAGAAATCTTTGCAAATGTACATTATCTAGAGGGTAGATATTATTTACTTTACAACTTCTACCCACGCCATGGTGAAGCCATTCCAGTGATAAATTACAGCTACCTGTTTGCTTGTGCAAACATAGCCACAGGACTGCTGTGCAATTCCTACTGAGAGTCAGGGAAAAGTATTGGTCTAAAATCTCACACAGTTCTTCATATTAATAAAAGTATCTGAGTCAGAAACGACCTCTCACCTTGTGCTTTAGGGACTACGTATTCAAGGTTTGATTTACACACTAGAAAACGCATCCTGTGAGTGCAAAATGTTACCTTATGACAGCTGACCTGCAGTATTTGGCTGAATGGTAATTCTTAGGCACAGCAGGGAAATCTAAAGCAGTTTCCTCTGAATTAACCTAATCACATTTATTTTTTGAGATCCATTGTCCTCTTGCCAGCCCTCTCCAGCTGGATAGCTGGAGAAAATTGCTTTCACACAGAGCATAAGCTGTCTCAGTACCTCCCAGCTTTGCTTATGGGGGTCTTTTCATGAGTGTCTGTGCTTCCGTCAGCCTAACTGACGGTGAATTTATGTTCTGAATTCACAGGTCCATCACGGGAACCACAGATGACACCATCACTACTACATCAGATTGATGCTTTTAATCAGATAACAGTATTTTTTCTAACCAACCCTGAGAATTTACAGGATCACTTTACATTTAGATTTTTTAGGTTTTAGATTCCTATGCTCCTTTTACACAGAACTTTATCTACAACTTCTTATAAAAATCCAAGTACAATCTTTATTTCCAACTATGCCTTTGCTTGTCGGCACCCCATTAGGCCTCACGGAAAACACCACTCTACCGAATCTAGACGATACATGCTCTTCCCACTTTTCCTTGCTGCGTAAGGTTCCAGCTTCACCAGGGCAAACCTCCAACTTCACCTGATCAAAAGGGCAGAACACATCATCCAAAAACCTTTCAACAATCTGATATCCACTTCTCAGAAAAAATAAAACCAGCAACTCAGGGAATTTATTTTTGCAACATACCTCTTCTGCAAGCATCAAAGCCTGTAATGACCAGGCTCTGCATGCAGCTAGATTTGCCTGTGGCTTTTGATGCTGTTAAGTACCAGTATTAACAATTTTTCAATCCATAGGGAAAAGAGTTACCTAGTTGGTTCTGTACTCAAAATGCAATCCCTATTTGTATAAAACAAGCATACGCTTAATACCAGGATTCTGAAGATGACTTGAAAACTACTATAAGCCAGAGGGCAAGTACCCCAGGAAGGAGAAAATAAAGATCCAAACTCTGGTTAAGTTCAAGTCCCTGTCTTCACGGTAGACTTTATTAACAGGCAAGATTAAAAAAAAAAAAAAAAAAGAGCAAAGCAAGTCAGAACAGTTGAAATAACTCAGAACACTATCAAATGCCTTTCTAACTGCTCTGCAGTAACCACTTGCACGAGGTCTGTAAATGAAAAGTAATTAGAAATAGCTTCTCCTAAACTGATCCAAAACAGGCACTGCTAAAGCAGCTTCCTTTTTACTTTCATGGCCACTGAAACCACTCCTCATGACAAGCAAAATTTTTGCTCCATTTTACATTTCTGACACACTGAATTTAAGGAACACATCACACCCTGTCACAGCTACCTGGGAGCACAGCATCACAACTGTGGGATGCAGTAAACCACGTATCACACTTACTTTCAGAGGCAGCTACCACTCTAGAATCCAAGCTTAAAATGCTGGCCCACCTGCTATGCAGACAGGCCCCCTATTTACAGGGAAAGTACACAATTTATGCTATAAATTATTCTTAAAACTCTCCAGACTGCTGAACAGCACTTTGTATGTCAATTGTGCCAGTCTTCTTCAAAGTCTACGCTGTCCAGCCTTCGATGGCTGGATATTAAATATGTGCTCTTAATGGAAGCATGTAATTTATTTGCTAGACCACCAGTAAAGTTAATTTTTTTACAGAGGTTTTTTTCAATTTCCATCAAAGTAATCCAAATACAGATTATTTGTATTAAGATCCTAAACAAATATTTAAGGTTAATTGTTTTGGAAGTCCTACACCAAGAGAAGCTCTGCATTTGTGCAGGATGCTAAGTTGACATGATATTCAGGATCATGCGGCACCTATGGCAACAAATATATTAGGTTTTGGTGTCTCAGCAAGAAAAAAGCTCTGCTTTGGGCATTCCGAATTGAACATTTGGGGCTTTGCCTTTTTAGAAAAAGAGCAGTAAGGTGATGCTGGTGATTAGAAGAGATACTTTGATTCCAATAAACACCCAGTATTTTTAATTAAGTGCACTAAAGTTACATCTCATTTGATAGCAATGCTGTTTGGTTCTTGCTGTAGGTGTGTAAGCTGCACCCTTTAATGTTTAGGTGCTATTACCCTGACCACACACAGAAATTTAGACAGGAAACTCGTATCATCATCAGAGATGATGAATTAAGCACCATCACAGCTGCCTCCCACCTCAACCCACTGTTCTGTCATCACATTACCAGAAATGGCAGCACTGTATTTACGTCCCCAGGATGTACAGTGAGTAACCAAGACACAGCAGCGTGTTACAGACATGCTGCGGTTATGATTTAACTACAACGGATGGATTTAACTGCACGGACTCAAATCTGATTCCTGGTTTAAAGAGTACTTTTGAAAGCATGGCAATTTCTCATCCGGTTTTCCTTAAAATCAAGAGGGTGACCGTAATTAGCCAAATAACAGAGGAGAACATCAGTGTAACAGCATCAGTGCCACCTCTGAGCAAGCAGTTCCGAAACGCACCGTTCCTCATTTCTGCGCGCAATTTTCCCAGCCTTTCACCTAGCACGCAGGTATTTTCCGCCCAAACTCCATCAACCCCCGCCCCCCGACCCAC